TTCAAGCTCGTTCCCCCTACAGCTACAGCTAGTAGTGGGGGTCTCCGGGACACAGGCAATTTGGGTATGCGCGGGGCAGCTGTACCACTTCACTTGCAGCACCCGCACCTCTACCAGACTGCACTTTGCGAGTTCCCGGGCACACGGGGATATGGGGCGGGAAGCAGCTTCTTCAGAGGACAGCCGATGCCAATGGTACAGCAGCAGCAGCAGCAACAACAACAAGCTCCAGCCGAAATTCAGCCAGAGGAAGTGGAGGCCCTTCGTGCTGTTGTGGCCCTTATTACTCGCATTGCACTCATTGTAAGTGCTGTCGGAGTTGTGCATGCATCGAAGTTTTGACGTAAAAACTGCCGCATTGGAGACTTTACTTAGACTAACATTATTCCCATGCTGTTGGCCACCTTCTACTAAGCTAATACTCAATCACGAGTAGTGAATTTTGATCTAAGGATGTAATACCACTAGGAAAGAAGGCGCCCATGACCCCAAACTGGCATTGACAATCTTCCGTAACATGCACGATGTGAGGATCAGCCAATGGACATGATATTACAAACTGTGTGCAACGCCCCAGTCTGTGAGATTGGATAATCGGCTTGCTACTTGAGGCATTAAATTACAACTATTCCAACCTCCTTCAACGTATCCTCTGATGAATGTCAAGTCGTGTCGTGGGCTTTACTGTTTAATTGTGTTCTAGGTGAACTCAACAGCTCATTAAATGACTTAGTGGTGAACATGTCCCTAGTCATAGCAGTGCATCTTAGTAATGCAGTCTAAACTACACCGCTTCATTCATGGCATTATCAAATAGCCCTCAGGGTTCGGCATTAGACTCGCGTTTCTATTTGCTGATTCTTCTGATGCCGCGTCTTATTTTCTCGTTTGACTCTGACATGCCCTGCCAGCTGTAATTTTGTTCTCTTGGCGTCAAACATCATCATCATCATACTGTCCGACTCCATAGTAGTCAAGTAGTATGTATTAAATATGCTCTTTCTTATTTCTCACCGCGCTGCAAACTGAAGGATCCCATCGCTCGTGCCGCGTTTGCCACCAACCAACAGTGGAAGTTAGTCCCCGTGGTAATTGGACTGATAACCTGCCCCTTACCTCTGGCAATGAAGGGTGACCTCTTTACTCTTCTGAGCGCACTTTGCCAATGTCCTTCGATTACCTCAGATATCTGGCACACCC